CTCCCTGGAGCCTTCCCTTCTCCAACCCAGCCTTGGACACTTCCAGGGCTGGGGATGGAACAATCAGTCCTAAATTAAAAAAACCAAGAGGGTTTTAGAACCCTCCTCACCCTCAGCTTTGCTTCCTTCCTACCAAGGGGGTTTTACCCAGAGTGGATGCATTCCAGGAGCATTTTTCCATGGTTGTGCCGCTGAGGTGGTGCCAATTCCCACAGGGATTTTCCTTTGGGTGTCAGAGCCCTGGAAATAAGAGCCCTCTACCCTAATCCAAGCAGGTCCTGGTTTAATCCCTGGAGCAACCAGTGAGAAGCTGAAAGAGTCCCATATGTGCTGGTTCTTCCCAGCAGTGTTTTCTGGCAAAAGGACCCACTGCTGGTCCAGGCCCTGGTTCAACTTCTGCAAAACAGGACCTTGGATCATCCCTGAAAAGGCTGGAAGGGCTCAGCTGCTGGAGGGAACTTTTTAAATGCCAGAGAAGGACAGAGGGAAAAGCAGCTCTGGCCATGCCCGTCCTCTTTGCCCACTTTAAATGAACAATGGGACTGAGGAGATAAGCAGGGACAGAGCCAGCAGGAATTTCAATGATGGCACCAAACGCTGCCCTCTGGCAGTGCCTCCATCGGAGAGAGCTGGAAAATGCCAAGGAAAAAAAAAATAACAAAACAACCACGGGAACAGAGCAGAGCTGAGGCCACGGGATGTGAAACGCTGCTGGCAAGAGGAGCCCTCCTCCCAAATCCACAGGGGCTGGGAGGCAGGAGGGAGGGCTGGGAGACGTTCCCTGCCCGCAGGCTGGGGGTGCCAGCCCTCCCGTGGGCACAGGGCACGAGGGGCTGCTGGAAAAGGCTGGAAAAAACAACCTGGAGTGGTTGTTTATGGGCTGAGCGAGGAGCTGGAAAGGGCTCAGCCCTGCTGGTTATCTGTGTGACTCCAGTAGGACTGGACTCGTTGTGAAAGGTGGGACTTCCTGGGCTCTGCAGGCTCAGATTCCAGCCCAAAAAAATGGTCACAATCACCCCAAAGTCACCAAAAAGTGACCCTGAGCTTCCTGCTCGCCCGTGGCTTTTTGTCCCCAACACACACACACACCCCCACCAAGGCTTTGCCATGGGAGACAACTCCCAGCTGGAGTGAAGCCCCCAAATCCTCCCCAGAAAGCTCTGCCCAGTCACTAATTGGGGGAATAACCAATTTCCCAGGAGCACTTCCCTTCCCACAGCTAATGAACCCCCGGCTGCACGGGGTGGGAGTTTTCCAGACAGCAGGAGCAGCAGCCCAGGATTTGTCTCCCCTGTCACGGGCAATCAATGCACCTCAGTGGTCACCAGCCTTTCCAAAGTGCTATTTCCACTCCTTAAAAATTACAGGAAGGCAGGAATAAATGAAAATTGGTGGATTGCCAGGGCTGGGGTGGGGGGGAACTCTCAGAGATGTTCTGCTCCGCTCAGGGCTTTGCTGCCCTGGCTGCTCCTGCATCCTCCTTGTTCAACATATTAATTTGGGAAGAATTCATTGCTTTGGGACAATTTCCTGCTCTTCTCACCAGCTGGAGAGACCCTGAGATTCCCTGAGGTGTAAACCTGGAATTAGCTTTGCTTGCACGCTCAGAGGTGCAGCAAATGCTGCTCCCAACTCTGCCTGGAAAAGTTTGGGATGGATCATCTGCTCCCTGAGCAGATCACAGTCATCCTTCCTTTTCCTCCCTGCTACCACCTCAAACTTGGTCCTGTTGGGTGAAAACACGTCCCCTGGGCACGGGGAATCTCCTGGGCACCACTCTCCAAGGTGGAGATGCCAAGGAAGGACAGAGGGAAAAGCAACTCTGGCCATACCCGTCCTCTTTGCCCACTTTTCCCTGTTCAACAGGAAAAGGAGTCTGAGATAAATCCAACAGCACTGAGTGATGGTTCCCTGGGCCAGTTGGGGTCTCTTGGCGAGGGCAGAGATGCCACCACTTCACCTCCCTCTTGCAGGTTCCTCCCTGGATGAAAAGGAGCCCCAGTTGCAGTTTGGGTGCCCTCAGAAACTCAACGGCTCCGTTTTTTTTGGGAACTGAGACTTGGTTAATAAAAGGATCGTTTGCTTTTTTTCCCCGGGCCCCAGATGGGAGTCAGGCAAGCGACCAAGCCCGAATTCCTCCTTCTCCAAGTGTTTCAAACAAAACACTCCCTCAAATCCCCCCTCCTGCCCTTGCCAAAGCACAACCGTGCGGGCGACGGCGAGGCCGGAGCTCAGCGAGCGGCAGCTTTCCCGGGATCCGGAGGGTTTCGGGATGAGAAATCGTGGACTGCTTCGGGTTGGAAGGGATCTTAAAACTCAACCAGTGGCCAGGGACATGTCCCACTAGACCAGGTTGCTCTAACCTGGCCTTGGACACTCCCAGGGATGGGGCAGCCACAGCTTCTCTGGGAAAACCTGTGCCAGGGCCTCCCCACCCTCCCAGCCAGGAATTCCTTCCCAATATCCCACCTAAATTCCTCCTCTTTCACTTTGAAGCCATTCCCTGCGTCCTGTCCTTCCATCCCTTGTCCC